TWGYWACTWCTTCTTTGCWGGCTTTGTAGCTACTTCTTCGTAGCTACACACACACACACTTGTAAACTGTTCAGTGTAAGTTTACATTGAGGGAAAGAACTTCAATGTATGCTCCCACCACTGACTGGATTGKTAAGATATACACAGAATCCTAAGTTGTACTATTTCTTTGCTAGCTGAACTCATAGGTACCTTTATTGCAYGCTGCAYTTTAAGATTTATTTTAAGSTACATTTTAAACTGCTGTACTTAGTCTACTAGTGGTTTATTTCTGTAYAGTATRTAAYTTGCCMCAAACCCCTTAYTCTGTTATTTTCYTGTGTCTAATWAACAAAAATTCATTTTGTATTAGASYTAATCAGCTATTATWAAAGAACTAGCGAACAAGACTGARTCCTGGGGTGCTGRTTGCCAAAGGCCTAGACAAGAGGCAGAAATCTATCGAAGCTCCCATCTCCATTYRTAACCAAGAGTAGGGCACAGAAACTATATAACCCAAAATAAAGCATCAGAGCTTCCTAGGGGTTCCTAGAGCTTCCTAATAATTAGATAAATAGTGAAAAAAAAAAAAAAAAAAAGCCCCAACAGTACCACACCCCTTAAATGTCCGGCAGCCTAAAAATTCTGTTTTGTCACCATCAGTGAGATTACATTCAGTGGGGTTTTGGGGAGTTGGATTGTTGTTAAACTTGCATGTCCATGAGTAAGTGTGGATACATAACAGACCCAGGATGCAGYTAGCATTCAGCACTTTCCTACAGTCTGACAGAAATTGTATYATTTGAACTACAGATTAAAMCCATTAAATTCCTCCTCAAATAATSAGRTAGTTCTTTWTCCTGCTGATGCCTGAGTTGTTTATAGAGGTGARTGAATGCCACAGCAAAGGTATTCAGAYACATCYACACTGTGGCTTTGRACTTTGTGTGTCTCTCACTAAGCCACTCACTTCTTCACGTGCCAATAAGAGGAGATACATGAAGAAGTGCTAAATTTAATGGAAAAATAATTAGGAGTATTTCTCTCCCCMTTAAGCCCTAATAACCATCTCTGAAGCCACTGGTCTTCCATGCTGGAACACCCTGGAAGCATCCTCAAATTACTTGGACACTGGGCAGGGTTCCAACTGCAGCTACAAGACACAACCACTGTCTAAGCTATTTCACGAACCACTCTTCCATTTAACAAATTAATGGAAGTGTGCCAGCAGCAATCACAACCTGAATAACGCAAACCCCTAAAGCAACCACCCCAGCAACCCAAAAGCAAAATTCTCTGCAGTCACCCTCTCAAATTTCCCTTCAGACAAATCCATCAGCAGCTACCCAGTAATCTCTCCTCATGATCTTATGAATGACCTTGGTAAGACGTGGGAATAMTTTCTGAAGGGTGCAAGGGGAGTTTAAATATTCATAAAATCAAGTTACAGACAGCGGGTGATTGCTACAGGAGGACTGGAGGACCCTTGCCTGATGGTATTCTATGGAATTCTCTCCATATTGGAATCACTKTGTACTTTTATGAACACCAGAAACTGTGACTGAGACCCTTGTTACATGTTTAAGCCAAAGTCTTCCAAACAGCTTTGGGAATGTTCCTGCACTGTGATCTCCAGGATCTGTCCTCTCCAGGACYCAGGCAGGACCAGTCCTGCCAGCAGGAAACGCTGCTTGATCCGGTCCCAGAGCACCTAAAGACACGCTCAAATGAACGGATACTCTGATCATGTTATTAACACGATCAGGAGAAAGGGAGAAAACCACGAAGGGAGAAAACCACGGCAACAAAATCCCACTGTATTCGAGCTTTTATGCAGATACAACATGTACAACCTTAGTGGCAAGTTAAGTTTTCCTCACTGAGCAGCCTTAGATGAGATTAATCTGTCCAATTTAAAGCAACGAATAAACTCAACAAGTCAGACAAACACAGGGTCTGGCGCAGCCCAAAAGGGCACTGCGTATTTGGACAGAGGCCGATCTCAGACGTGGATTCCAGCAAATCTTTTCAGTGCCTGGCGAAGCTTTACGGGCAGGCACGCTTCACAGCCCATCAAGCGAACTGGGGCACCGATTCCCGACACCTCAAAAAGCAGCGGGGCAAGAGCTTAGAGCCAGCAAAACACACGTGAGAAAGCAGCTGCCCTGCTCTCTGCACGGACACCRAGAGCAAACCCTAACCGCGGAGGTGGCAGGGAAGAGAAGCCTGTCAGGAGCCCCATCGGAAGCAAAGCGAGTTTAACATCCCCATCCCCACCAGGAGGGACGCGCCCCGGCCGCTCCCCATGGAGACGGCGCTGAAGGGTAGGAAAGGGTGTCRCCCGCAAAGCCGCCCGGCGGCGTCACAGCCAGCACCGCCACAACATTCTCTCCTGTCCGACGGGCACCCCTTGTGCTCCGAGCTCCCCGGGGCCCTTCCCTTACCCGGGAGCGCCCGGGCTGCCCTCAGCGGTGACAGCGATCCCCGCACGGCCGCGGTACGAGCGGCCCGCAGCAGCACTCCCGCCATGGCCGCCATGGCCGCCGCCCGCGCACGCGCCGCGCACCCCCCGCCCCCCCAGGCTGTGGGCGGGCCGTGTGTGCGGTGAGTGCCCAGAGCCCGCCCGGGAAACGGGAAACAAAGTTTTGTCAATTAAAAATCCCACAAAGAACACTGAGCGTGCATTTTCCAGTGTGGCTGTTTCCCCTGAGCCAGCAGTGCCTCGCAGCCAAGAAGGCCAAAGGTATCTTGGTGTGTCCTGGGAAGAGCATTGAGCAGGCCGAGGGAGGCGATCCCGCCCCGCTGCTTAGCCCTGTGAGGCTCCTCTGGTGTGCTGTGTCCAGTTCTGGGCTCCTCAGGACAAGACAGACATGGAGCTCCTGGAGCAGGTCCAGTGGAAGGCAGCGAGGGTGACTGGAGCATCTCTCCTAGGAGGAAAGGCCGAGGGAACTGGAYCTGTTCAGCATCATGAAGAGATGGCTGAGAAGGRACCTCATTAACAGGCTCACACCTCCKTGCCTTCTCTCCTCTGCCTTAGGCATGAGCACAGAAGCCAAAACTATGTCTTTATGCACTGTACCTTTTATATACAGGCCATGGCAGCCAGAAAGAAAAGGATCATAGACTCACTAAATTATTTTGATTGGAAAAGATCTCTAATAGAGTCCAAGCTTTGACCAAATGCCACCATTGTCAATYATACCATAGCACTAAATGCCATRYCCAGTCATTTCTGGAACACCWCCAGRGATTCCCCTCCACCCTCTCCSTGGGCAGCCCATTCCAATGCTTGACAACCCTTYCTGTGAAGAAATTCYTCCTGATGTCCAACCTCTCCTGACAYACAACAATGAATGCTGAGAAAGGTCAGTTCCTGCCCAGATAAGGGTGTTCTCCCATCCAAGCACCAGGCCAGCACCTGAAGGTCATGGGACAGAGCAGATGAAGTTTTTAAGATKCAGCCTATGTGGTTTACAATTGCCCAAGATCTTTCAGGGTAAGCAGGGTAAGACCACCCTGCTCTATTTATGTTGTCTTGATGTCCACGAGCACAGTACCCACCCCACTTCATGACAATGGTAGCAAACTTAGTGAAATCAATCATAAAACCACACTAGTTTTCATTTCCACAGTGAGTTAATACTTCCATCCAAGACATCTCTGAGTAAAGTATTGGGAGAACTGTGAAATCTGACATTCAAGCAATTTCTGGTTTGCAATTAAACAAAAAAATTGTCAGTCTCCAAGGCTGGCAATAAATTTTTCAAACAGGTTCATAAAAAATAAAAATGGTATTATATTATGTACATTATGTATTATATTATGTATATTATAATGGTATTATATATGCACTACACAGGTGATACTCCTACTTTCACTGCCCTCCAAAAGATGATTTTCCATAGCTCTTTAGTGGAAGAACACATGGAATAATTCAATGAAGTGTTACTGAGAAATACAATATTACTTGCATGACTGTATACAACTATTTAGAAGACAAGCAGAAATATCTCAAAATATTGCAGGAARAAAATATTTGAAACGAGCATATTTTTAAAAATGTTTATTGAAATGCCTTCATTGCATCATGCAGGATACAAAAATCATGATTAGAAAACCTTTATAACTATACTTAGGAGTAAAATCAAGATACATCAGGGAAAAATAATAACTGTATAAACAAAAGCAATTTATTTGATAGTGTTATAAATTATAGATTACAGACTGTGATCTGCACAGATGATAACAATTATCTTGCAACAACAGTCTCTTCTTCTRTGATTCAAGTTGAAACTGATGTTTGTCATGCTAGAACAACCACATCACCTGTGTGTACCACAAACCTGTTCATTACAGTTACAGGTTTCAAAAGGCATAACAAAAATATTCTCCCAGCATACTTCTATTCTGTTTTCAGTTTATTTGTTCCATCAAAAGTGATTAACTTTTCATCAAGAAAAAAAAAAAGGCTAATGTGCTTTTTTCTAGTACACAAACCACAGAGTGTGTAAGTTTTGATTACTGAAATAGAACCTCTTTAAAGTCATAATACAAGAGACTTTCTTGAAGTTCATTTCAATTAAATAATTTATATTTTTGCAATATTACTCAAGGACTTGGAAGCAATTTTAAAATGGGAGACCACTGCACCCTCAGTATTTTTGCTGTTTTAGGTGTCTCAATCCCTACTACTTCAAACTTTCAGGGGTTTTTATTCATACACTGCTTAGTGTAAACTCTTAAAACTCACCTCTCTTTTTATTGTATTGGACAGCATTATTCTGTGCAGGTATACATTAAACAACAAAATAACTCTCTGGGGCTGAAAACTTGGCTCCAAAGAATTCAGACAGGTAGAGATTTTGGTGCTGGCTTCAAGGCAGGCAATGTTTGAGAGATTTCAGTAGAGCGTTCACTTGGCACAGATTAAGATTAGAACCACGCTGGGACCTTACTACATRAAATTGCTGTAGGGTCCAGAATCAGCTTATGCTATTCAACAGGGAAGAATAAAAAAAATCCCTCTTCATGAGGAAGTTAATACATGTGTTTCCATTTCTCATCCTTCTGGAGAAAGATTGCATCTTTATAAAGCTATCCTTCTCTTTTTCTTTTTTGTTGAGCTCCATAGATGCAAATTTTAAACATACAGTTGTTGCCACAAAGTGTTTGAACACAGCACATCACAACAATTCATTACATTAAAAGTCATTAAGAGTTTTGGCACTGTCCCCTTACATAAAGTTAGGTACAACTAACAATATGAAAACATAAGGGAATCGTGTAACTCTTTGGCTCTGTTGTTAACACTTAACTACTAAGGCAAGAACTGTGTGTWCCTTAGGGCTGCTTTTTTGTTTGTATTTTTATAAAACACTTGACTAAAAGTTTTGAAAAGTCACCTAATCATCTATAAATGTCAAATGCTGCATATTAAAATATATGCTTATTACACCCTTTTGTTTCACTACTAGAATTTTTGCATACCAATGAGAATACACACACACTTGTAAACTGTTCAGTAAGTTTATGAAGACATTCTCTGTATAAGAGAATTTGTAGAAACATGTAATTCAATAAAGATGCTGTAATTTAAATTGCCTGATTATCCGTTTTGGAGCACTACGATTTCCTCAACACCTTTAGCTCGTTCATTCCTATAAAGATCAACTAAAACAGGTAACAATCCCCCTTTTCAATGCATTTGTAACCCCCTGAGTCTGAGGTTTTGGGTGCACATCATAAGGAGGACATTTCAGGGTATTCACTGGCTTTTCAKCTGTCTCTAAGTATGGCTAACTTCATGAGTTACATTATTGCAGGATGCCCTATTGCTGCCCTTTTATTACAACATGAAGTGGGTGTAGCCTTCTGCACCTGTAACAATGACATCCATCCATATCCTCATGGCTTCTGGAGAAGGAGCAACCATATAGTAGATGCGGTCATGAGTCTTRACACTGAAAGTCAGCAAGGGGTTGGGACTCTGGAATAAAACACAAAGTATYGAAAGAGTGAAATCAAAGCCATTTATTGGTAGCAGAAGTGGAATTGCTTACYGGGATATTTATGGATAGGGTTAAGAAGAAAGATAAAGTGCTGTACCACTGCATCTTATAATTGCAGCAGAGATGCATTTAAAGTGTTTGTAGCCACCATAAACACCTTTTACAGCATTTTTCCTATAGACTATTATACAGTACTACAGGCTCCAAGCTGTTACTTCATGCCCAAATAACTAASTCCCCCACTCTGTCCAGTGGCTTTCACAAGTTGTTCACAGCTTATTTAAATTACAGATGAGAGGCAGGGGGTGCCATGAGCTGCTGGCACAGTTCACTCCCTCCCTGGGACAGAGGCACACAGCCAGCCCTCRATTTGTCCAAGCCCCTGATTTCAGTGGTCTCGCCACTGCACTAATGAACTCTTTGCAGCAAATCCCACTTGGCAGGTAGACATAATTATCTCTGCTTCCATCAGTATTAAAAAAAAACCAACCCAAACCAGTTCTAATCACTGATTAGCTTCCTTTTCCTTTTCCTCCAGTCCAGGTGTTTTTCTAGTATTTGTTTTGTTCCTTTCTCCCCTCCAATATTTTTGCTCTCCCTTTAATTTTACAGCAGTGACCATGCTTTGGGTACTCCTCTATGGGATATGTAGTTAAAACAGCAATAACAAAGTTTACCTTATATGCATTCTTTAGATGATCATAATAGACTTCTTCAATAGCTTGAAAATATATTACACCTTTTAATTTAGTTTCGTGTTTGTCTAGAATGGAAAAGAGAGAAAGACTTCAGAATGGAAATGAACAGTAAGAAGCAAAAGCTTAATTTGCATTTCCTYATATGTTCAGCTGATAAGTGACTCAATAGTTCTGTTTCTGAAATCCCACCGAAACCTTCAAACTTTCTTACTGGTTTGTTGGTTTTGAGAGATGCATTTGTTATTGTATTTCTCTTTCACATGGTTTCCAAAGATGAAAGCTTTGGTAATTTCCTCATCTATCTGCAGGTTGCTCCCTTCACTGAAGTTTCTAAATGTTATAGTGTTAGCCCACAAAAGGACAGATGTCTCTCAAATATATCCACTCTTCAAATTCCATGAAAACCAGCCAGAACTGTGGYTCAGAAACTCACACAGTTCACAGGCTAAGACCTCTAGTTTCCCTTCAATGGGAATGATATTTCYCTTCAAACTATAATGATAATCACATTTTCAACACAATCTGATAGCAAAACCTTTATATTAGAACATAATTTGTGCTTGTACTTTTTTAAAAAAATGCTTCACGTGTGAACTTAACAATCACCACTATAATGTTTCACAAGAAAAAGGAGCTGGGCAGGCAGCATCACCCCGTTTTCCTGCAGTGGGAAGAAAAATTGTTAAGAAGCCTCACAGCTTGCACATGGACACTGAAGGGCAAACTTCCTTTTACTCTCAGCACTTTTGTATTAGGAAAATATATTGCTTTCTGACCCCAAGYTATAGTATGATCTCAACACTGCACAGTCATGCAGAACATCCTAATCAGTTCCATG